TTGTACTTCCATGTATCATGTTCAAATAAATAAATAAATAAATAAATAAATACAGTGGACCCCCGCATACCGCACGCATCGCATACCGTACAATCTGCATACTGCTCGCTTTTTTCGCAAAAATTTTGCCTCGCATACCGCCCAAAAACCCGCTCACCGCTCTTCCTCCGAGACGCGTCCAATGTGCGGCCTGAGCCACGCTCACATGTTCTGCCGGTGGCATTGTTTACCAGCCAGCCTCCGCGGTAACATCCAAGCATACAATCGGAACATTTCGTATTATTACAGTGTTTTTGGTGATTTTTTCTGGAAAATAAGTGACCATGGGCCCCAAGAAAGCTTCTAGTGCCAACCCTACAGCAATAAGGGTGAGAATTACTATAGAGATGAAGAAAAAGATCATTGATAAGTATGAAAGTGGAGTGCGTGTCTCCGAGCTGGCCAAGTTGTACGTATAATAAACCCCAATCAACCATCGCTACTATTGGTGGTACAGCTGCTGGTGCACTGTCAGCTGCTGCTGCACTGTCAGCTGCCGTTGCTGTTGTACCACCGTCAGCTGCTGCTGTAGTACCGTCTGCTGCTGCTGTAGCATCGTCTGCTGCTGCTGTAGCATCGTCTGCTGCTGCTGTAGCATCGTCTGCTGCTGCTGTAGCATCGTCTGCTGCTGCTGTAGCATCGTCTGCTGCTGCTGTAGCATCGTCTGCTGCTGCTGTAGCATCGTCTGCTGCTGCTGTAGCATCGTCTGCTGCTGCTGTAGCATCGTCTGCTGCTGCTGTAGCATCGTCTGCTGCTGCTGTAGCATCGTCTGCTGCTGCTGTAGCATCGTCTGCTGCTGCTGTAGCATCGTCTGCTGCTGCTGTAGCATCGTCTGCTGCTGCTGTAGCATCGTCTGCTGCTGCTGTAGCATCGTCTGCTGCTGCTGTAGCATCGTCTGCTGCTGCTGTAGCATCGTCTGCTGCTGCTGTTGCATCGTCTGTTGCTGCTGTAGCATCGTCTGTTGCTGCTGTACCACCGTCAGCTGTTGCTGCTGCTGTAGCACACGTTGTTGGTGTGGCTTATTGAGAATACCAAGAAACAATTAACCCCAGAGGATTTGCCACCCAGGATAACCCCAAAAAAGTCAGTGTCATCGAAGACTGTCTAACTTATTTCCATTGGGGTCCTTAATCTTGTCTCCCAGGATGCAACCCACACCAGTCGACTAACACCCAGGTGAACAGGGAAAAATGCCTGGAACTAGTGCTCATATTGGTGAATTTAAAGCCAGCAAAGGTTGGTTTGAGAGATTTAAGAATCGTAGTGGCATACACAGTGTGATAAGGCCTTTTTCTGGAAGAAAATGCCAAACAGGACCTACAGTACTCGGGAGGAAAAGGCACTCCCAGGACACACTGTCTCATCAGTCATTGCTGCATCTTCAATAAAGGTAAGTGTCATTATTCTTCATTTAGTAGAGTAGTACATGCACAATATATATTGTGCATGTACTACTCTACTATTGTGCATGTATCCTTCTCTTTGTGTGTAGGAAAATGTATATTTCATGTGGTAAAAATTTTTTTTTCATACTTTTGGGTGTCTTGCACGGATTAATTTGATTTCCATTATTTCTTATGGGGAAAATTCATTCGCATACCGAACATTTCGCATAACAATCAGCCCTCTTGCACGGATTAAAGTCGCTATGCGCGGGTCCACTGTACATTATTTCTTATGGGAAATATTATTTCAGTTTTCGTACAAATCGGTTTTCGGCTGACCTTCTGGAACGGATTAAAGATGAAAATCGTGGTTCCACTATACTTAACCCATTGACTGTCAAAACCCATAATCCTGAAGTGTCTTCTGGTGTCGGGAAAAAAAAAAAATTCTTATGAAAATGTTAAGATTATTTTTCTGATTGTTTTAGTCCCCCCCCAAAAAAAAAACTGCCATCAGTACTTACCGAGACAGAGAGGCGTGAAGTTGGCAGAAAATGACCGCATATGGCAAGAGTGGCAACTGCTGCGCACCCGCTAAACTTTGGTTTACTTGTATTCGAAGGTTTCTTGTTTTTTTCACTATTTGATTTTTTCACATAACTAATGTGGCCTGTGAGATCGAAGTATGGTGTAATGTTCATATATACATTCGTTGAATGTAACACAATCATAGCAAAAATACTGGTATCATCATATTGTTTACAAAACCTGTTTACACAAATATAAAAAATTGTTTATTACGATTGTTCTATAATATATATACATATGTACAATCACTGGGCACTTTTCTAGAATGGCTGCAGCTTGTGGAATTCTATGAAACATGGGTGTATGCACAATGGTTTTACATTCCTCACATATAAAACGAGTGTCTGCATTTTTGTGGGTGTTTTGTGGTATGTGCACAGACATAACACCTCTTCTGAGCATTTTTCTTGAAAGCAGTAGCAGTCAGTGGTATGGAGTAGTGATCACCAGGCCTCAGACGAGAGGGCATGTGTTGATATTTTCGTGGGCGCTGGTCTATTGCAAGTGTTGTTCCTTGGTACTTGAATATTATTTGTCTGATAACTGACAAACAAAATTCACCATATTTGGGTTTGTTGTTGGTCTTCAACTTGTACATATAAGTATTCAGCATGGAAATGTCAAGAAGATCGAAAAAGAGTTTTATGTATCACTTATAACTCTTTCAAACACAATCAGCAAACCCAATCTGCATGTCACATCTGTCCACTAACTGCATATTAAGGTTGTAATCCATTACAGCTGCATGTTTTACAATGGGTTCATTGGTCTCTCTATTCTGCTTGCCAGTGTCTACCACTTCGTGTCGGTGAACTGATGTCAACAGTGTGACATCATGTTTGTCATGCCACCGAAATGCCATGATGTCATTAGCAGCAAACACCTGAGCATCACCTCTACGAGTGCCAGCGTCGAAGCTGGGCATATGTTTACGATTTCCACGCACTGTGCCACATATCTGTCATGTTCACTCACAAGAAATCACTGAGTAAAGGGCTTGTGTACCAGTTGTCAGTATATAAAATATGCCCCTTACCAAGATACGGTTCCATCATTGTTCTAACCACATCACCAGAGATACCCAGAAACTTCCTGGTATCATGCAATGTTTTACTGCTAGTGTACACAATTATATCCAAAACGAGACCACTTTTGCAATCACACAGTACAAATAACTTTATACCAAAGCGTTTCCTCTTGCTTGGTATGTATTGCTTGAATGAGAGTCTGCCTTTGAACAAAATCAAAGACTCATCAATAACAAGCTTCCTGGAGGTATAAAATTATGTACAACACTTTTGTTTCAGATAAAACACATTTCTGATCTTATATAAAACCTGTTGCTTCTGTCAGGCCTTGTTTTGCCTGAAAAATGTAGCATATGTAAAAGTCACAAATTATTCACGGATAATGCACCAAAAACGGGGGTTTAAATCAGGTGGTCTGCGGCCCGTATTGTTGACACTGTGCTTATACACGTGGCAAAACATTATTGTGGGAGAGAACAATAATCTTGCCCCAATTGTGTCCTTCCCCTGGTGTAGGGATATCTTGGGAAAGAATTGTGTTTGCTATGGTGTACTCAAAGAGTTTTGCTTTCCCGACAATAAAGCCATGGGGTTATGAAAAATAAAATGAAAGCATTCCATTCAGTAGGGTTTTTCCCAAGTTACATGAGGCCGTATTCCACTTTGGGGTTTCAAAAAAAAAAGTCATGTGGATTGGGGAAAAAAAGCACCCTTGCTGCCAATCCCGATGTGGTTGCTGGGGGGTTCGGATATTGAAAAGGTGGTTGTGGTTGGGGAGTGGGGGGGGTTTTGGAGGCTGGTTTTGGGTTTTGCTGCGTAAAGGGCGGTGTAGCGGGCCTGGCGGTGCCGCATGACCCTGCCACCACTACTATCACCCACCATCTGCTGCCTCACTCACTCATTCATACCCTTGTAAAAAATCGTATCTTCACTATCAGTTTTTAGTGTGGGCCCCGGAATGTACTCCAGATTTACTCCCTTCCCCTTGGAAAACATATGACATACCAGAAAGCATGCCTTGTATAACGCCGCCCACTGGAGAAAATTTTCCCCCACTGTCACAACTAGAACTTTCAATAGCTTTGAAATCAGTATCACTGCTCACATCTGGGTCTTGTACATGGGCAAATAGTTTCCTCTTTCATCCTGGTACAGATGAACTTGAATGAGACGGCCCAGCACCAGATATGGATGGTTGTGGGTCTTCTGGATTTTCATCACTAATTACATTATCCTGGGTGCTGCTTTCGGTCACACCCACTCCAAAACCATGAAATTCACTTTCACTGGCACTTCCATCACTGTTAGAGCTATAACTTGGGAACAAAAGACCTCCAATCCGCCGAAGAGTGAGGTACTTCTTACCGTGAGGCACGGTGAAAATGGACTACCAAGACGGCGTTCCCACAATGTACCACCGAGTCCATGATTTTTTTCACGGGGTGCACACCCACCACTCAGACCCATTCTCTCTCATGTAGGCCTACCAGCTTTCTCCCGCTTGATTTGAAGCCGCTAGAATTAATGGATATAAACACGTCAAACATGGTGGCTCGTAACACGTGTATATATGACTGAAACAGTCGAAGGGTTAAACCTAGATAAGATAATAGCGGTTAAATTTATTAAAATCTTTTTTAATTATAATACTAATGTGAGGTAGTCAAGGTGGAGGTTTATAAGAATAATAATCTTGAAGTTGCACATAATAAAGACAACATTACAATTAATGGTTCAAGCAGTAATATTTCATAGATTAGCATATATTTAATAGACTAGAGGTCACATAATTAGAAATTGTCTTGGGTGGTTTGGTTAGTATTGAGAGACGAGATGATTTTTAAGCAAAGTCCTAAATTTATAGGTCATTACCTTGTCATAGGCATGTAGGTATTTAGGACATAAGCACACAGAGAAACAAAAACAAATGACATTGATGGCTTATTGCCTATTGTCCTACCTGCAACTTGCCCCACAATCGACACTTGTCGCATCCAACACAATCCATAATGCGACTAATGTTGCGGAAGTGTTCACGAAATTCTTCTTTTAGCTTAGTAGCTTGCAGTCCCCCTGTGAACATTGTTTCTTCTCGAAAATGTTCTGGGAAACTCCTGGAAATTAATAAAAAAAAAAGCAATTTAAGTTTTTTATTCTAAAACTTTTTTTAACAGAAAGACAGAACTGTATGACCCTGATAGGTTAGCGCTTAGTTTTGATTATAATAATAATAATTTAACAGAGTACTAAATTTTAACCCCTTGACTGTCGCAACCCCCAATCCTGAGGTGTCTCTTGGTGTCACAAAATTCCCCCCCCCCCATTTTTTTTTCTTATGAAATGATAATCTTTTTCCGATTGTAATGAGACCAAAAGAACGAAATTTGATGGAAAACTCACGGAATTATGCTCTCGCGAAGCTAGTGACCTCGGCGATATTTATAAATCGGCGATTTCGCCCACTTTGAGCCCTATTTTTGGCTAATTCCATTGTTCCATTGACCAGACTCATAGCTAATTCTTTAGAACTCCATTTTTTCTATCAACTGAATACAAGAAACTGCCCATTTACCGATTTCAACTATCCCAAAACGTGGTCAGAAATTTGCAATTTGGCCAAAAATATGACAATTTCAAAATAAGGTCCAGAATGAACAATGCAGATATTCCTGGCTCTAAAATAACATTTTCTTTGCTCATCAGTCACGTCTCCAGGCCTCTCTGATATTACTCTTGCTTTCTATTTTGAATTTTTATTCAAACAAAAAGTAGATTTACTGTTATGCAGACTACTGCAATATTTTATAATTGTATAAATAATGTCAACCCATTCATGATTGCGTATCAGAATGGCTACTTGGACATTTATTGGAAAATGACATTTGTTTACTTTTGAATATTGGCAAAAATCAAACATTTCCCCTACTTTGAGCTCCATTTCAAGGTTCTTTTCATAGTAAAACCAATCAAAATAACCTCTATTTCTATAATATGCTTTCCATTCTATCAAATGAGACCAAGAAAAAATGAGAATACAACCATAAATACTACAGGAAGGCCCCACTTATACGGCGGGTTAGGTTCCAGGCTACCGCCGTAAAGCGGAAATCGCCGTAAAGTGGAACACCCTTTTTTTCCACTTATAAATGCATACAAACACTAGATAACAAGTTTACACTAACATATATTAAGTTAGCAATAGAACCAGGCATCAAAAAACAATAAAAAGGTACAATACACACATAGTGCACTCATTACTTACCTTAAAATATTTATAGTCTTAATCTAGGGTGAGACAAGTAGTATTTATTGTAAGAAATCAAGTGTGGTATGTATTGTAATAGCCTCACCAGGCCACCCCACCCACACATACTATTCTATGATATTTAAGCATCCCAGAGCGATAAAATGTATATACAGTTCACTCATTACTTACCTTAAAATATTTGTAGTCTTAATGTAGGGTCAGGAGTAAGTAAATGAGATAAAACGAATAAATGAGAGAGAGAAAGAATGAATACATGAGAGGGGGCAGGCGCAGTTATGTAAACAAACCAGGCGAAGGTAAGTTTTGTAAACAAACGAAGTGTACACGTCTGGTTTGTGTACAAGTTACATTGTGTACAGGTTGTCTCTACATTGATACGGTAGAATTAATAAAGAAGAACACTCCCATTCTCATGTAACATCATTTTGAGAAGAAATGAAGCTCTGAGTGAAGGCAATGGAAATAAGTCACACTGACTTTTTTGGGTTTATCCTAGGTTCTCTACACGTATGTTGTTATGTATGATAATCTATGTAACTGTATTTGTGTATACCTGAATAAACTTATTTTCAACATACGAAAGGAATAATTTCTACAGTTACCCCCATAACACATTTATCTTATTTAATTAAAAAAATTTTTTTCTTGGCGTCATTGTACAAGTTATGTGGCTCCCCATCTTAAATTTATGTTTATTTATTTATTGTGGGGGTATTTTTCATCTTTTTATGTTATGTATCGTGTTTTTATTTTATAATTTTTTAAAAAATTCGGATGGATTAAAAAAAAAAGTGTTATTCGTAATATACGACATTTAATAACTCGTATTGTTTTTTTCACCACTTTGCAAGTCGTCTGACGACATCTCACATTTGTTTATTTATTCTACTGTGGGGGGTATTTATCTTATTTTATTTTATGCACGTGTTTATTATAGATTTTTAAAAAAATATCAGGATGGATTAATGAAAAAAGTGTATATTTCCGTAATAACACATTTTAAAAGAGACTCATAAATTTTTATTATCACCACTTGTGCAAATCTTTTGCTACGACATCTCACTTTGTTTATTTATTTACTGGGGGTTATTTATCTTATTTAATGTTTGCACGTGTTTATTATATAATTTTTAAAAAAATATCATGGATGGATTTGAAAAGTGTATTTAACTAATATAACATTTTTAAAGACCGATGTAGTAATTTTTTTAGGGACAGGGATACATAAGTATAATTATCAGAGTAAAATAAAAATGAAATACTTTTTTAAAAAAATTTTAAATTTTTGGGTTTCCAACAAAATGGAGAGATTAGTCTTCGGCTCATGGGGTGTAAACAAACAGGGGGGGGCACGGTGACCCGTTTAGAAAGTAGGTGGGGGGGGCCGTATAGTGAGTTTTGGGCATAAAATTTTAAATGTCCCTATAGCGGAACGCCGTAAAGTGAAACGCCGTAAAGCGGGGCCTTCCTGTATATGAAAATAGACCACAAAGTCAGCATTTTAATTAAAAAAACAGTTGGAGTTTTTTTTTTCTCATTATGCACTGCGTGCTGCAGGATTTTTTTTATACGGTACACACTGACCACACAGACCCATTCTCTCACATGTGGGCCTACCAGCTTTCTCCTGCTTGATTTGAAGCTGCTAGAATTTGAATATACAATATACGTCAAACACGGTGGCTCGTAAGACATATATGTACAACCGAAACAGTCAAAGGGTTAATGACGAACACCAAGGTTCCACTGTATGCTCATTCTTCATTTATTCAGACTTCTTTCAATTAACCCTTTGTCGCAGGCTCCTTTCTGAAACTGTCATTCTATGTCACAAAATATTCGAAAAATTTTTTTTTATTTTTTCTTATGAAAATGTTAAGATTATTTTTCCGAGTGTTTTAGTCCAAAAAAAAAAAATTTTTACCATCAGTACTTACCGAGATATAGAGGCGTGAAGTTTGCAGAAAATGAGCCGTGTATGGCAACAGCGGTGACTGCCGCTCACCCGGTAAACTTTAGTTTACTTGTAATTGAAGGCTTCTTGTTTTTTTTACTATTTTATTTTTTCACATAACTTATGTGGCCTGTGAGACCAAAGTAAGGTGCAATGTACATATATACACTCGTTGTATACAACACAATAAGCACACAAACATAATTATCAATATATTGTTTACAAAACTTGTTTACAAAAAAATACAAAAAATTTTTTATTACTATTGTTCTATAATATATATACCAATGTACAGTCACCGAACATATTCCTAGAAGTTCTGCAGCTTGTGGAACTCTTTGAAACATGTTTTCATACACAATGGTGTTTTACACTCCTCACACACAAAACCAGTGTGTGTGCATTTTTGTGGACTTGTTTTTTAAGTGCGAAGACAAAACACCTTGTCTGAGCAGTTTTCTTCAAAGTATTAGCAGGAAGTTGTGTTATGTAGTTATCCTAGGTAAATGGTCGTGTGTCATCATTCCTTTCTTCCTGCATTCGTTTCCTACCTTCCTTCCTACTTTCCTGCATTCCTTTCCTACCTTCCTGCATTCCTTTCCTACCTTCCTGCATTCCTTTCCTACTTTCCCGCATTCCTTTCCTACCTTCCTGCAATCCTTTCCTACCTACCTTCCTGCATTCCTTTCCTACCTTCCTGCAATCCTTTCCTACCCACCTTCCTGCATTCCTTTCCTACCTTCCTTCCTACATTCCTTCGTCTTTCCTTACTTTTTTCCTTCCTTTCATCTCGTCCTTCCTTCATTCCTGCCTTCCATTCTTCCTTCCTTCTGGTTTCTATAATATATATACACATATATAGTCACTAGATACTTTCATATAACTGCTATTATCTTCATTCAGCTAGCTTGTCTTGTGTGCGTGTGGCTTATAATTGTTTTGAGTAGGAGTCGGCAGCTGTCAAAATGACATATTATCTCATTACTCACTCCCCCTACTGCCTGTCAAAACAATGGGGTCGGATGCTGCTTCCCCTCCATTCTATCTAATTATCTTTCTCCCTCATTCTATCTCTTTCAATCTGTCTCTCTCTTTCTATCTGCTTGTCTATCTCTGTCTCACAGGTACACATAAATACAAGTATACATATTGTAAATTACCTAGGATAACCCAAAAAATCCAGACAAAGTGCCAAACTCAGCTTAAAGATGTGAGTAAACGTGATGATGACACAGTCTTGTGGCTCTCTCTGAGACAGAGAGCTAGACAGATAGACAGGGAGCTTGGCAGACAGACAAATAGACTGACAGAAATGTTTGTGTACCAGCAAAAACAAAGGGAGGGCGATGGTCATCTAATCTTTTCTTATCAGCTGCACCCTCACCCACCTTCGTTTACGCTCATCAAACGTCAGCTCTTATCAAATGTTATCTCCCATCTTGTCACTGTCATGGGGTGGACTTTTTTTTCTTGCTTCAAGGGAACAATATTATTACATCTTCTTCTTCTTCTTCTTCCTCTTCCTCCTCCTCTTCCTCTTCCTCCTCCTCTTCCTCCTGTTCCTCCTCCTCTTCCTCCTACTCTTCCTCTTCTCCTTCTCCTCCTGTTCCTCCTACTCTTCCTCTTCTCCTCCTCCTCCTCTTCCTCCTCCTCCTCCTCCTCCTCCTCCTCCTCCTCCTCCTCCTCTTCGTCCTCCTCCTCCTCTTCGTCCTCCTCCTCCTCCATTGCTTTTGGTCTCAAACTCCTCGAAATCATGAAATTGATCTTCACTGACACTTCCATTGTGTTAGAGCATCACTTGGGAAGAGAAGAGTCCCAGATTTGCTGGGGAGTCACATATTTCTTACCGCTAAACATGCTGAAAAAGGACAACTGAAATGGCATTCCCACAATGCACCACTGGCTCCCCGATTTTTTTTATATGGTGCACACTGACCATGGAGACCCCATCTCTCACATGTGGGCCTACCAGCTTTCTCCTGCTTGATTTGAAGCCGCTAGAATTTATGCGTATAAATACGTCAGAAACAGTGGTGCGTAAGACGTATATATACGGCGTAAACAGTCAAAGGGTTAATATATTCACTGCTCACTTGAGCTAGGTAATGTGATGTGTCCAGGTAGTAGGTTGGCAGACAGCAACCACCCAGGGAGGTACTACTGTCCTGCCAAGTGAGTGTAAAACGAAAGCTTGTAATTGTTTTACATGATGGTAGGATTGCTGATGTCTTTTTTGTCTCATAAACATGCAAGATTTTAAGTATGTCTTGCTACTGCTACTTACACTTAGGTTACACTACACTGGCATTAACCCTTTGACTGTTGCAACCCCAAATCCTAAAGTGTCTCCTGGTGTCGAAAAAATTTTAGAAAAAAAAAAAAAAAAAAAAAAAAATCTTACGAAATAATAGAGAATCTCTTCCCGATGGTGATGACACCAAAAGTACGAAATTTGATTGAAAACTTACAGAATTACGCTCCCGCAAAGTTAGCGATCTCGGCGATATATACGCATTGGCAATTTCACCGAGTTTGAGCCCTATTTTCGACCAATTCCATTGTTCCAGTCTACCAAACTCATAGCTATTTCTTTAGAACTCCATTTGTTCTATCAACTGAGTACAAGAAACTGCCCATTTACCAATTTCAACTACCCAATAATGTGGTTAGAAATTGGCAATTTGGCAAATTTCATGCAAATAAAAAAAAGATGCCAATTTCAAAATAGGGTCCAGAATAAACAATGCAGACATTCTTGGCACTAAAATAAGATATCCTCTGTTCATTAGTCACATGTCCAGGCCCCTCATATATTACTCTTGCTTTCTACTTTGATTTTTTATTCACAGAAAAAAATAGAAGATTTACTGTTATGCAGACTACTGCATTATTGTAAAAATGGTATAAATAATATCAGTGAAAGAATATTAGACTCCCCAGTTGATGTGTATTGGACATATGGTGTGATTTGCTTACTCTTGAACAATGGTAAAAATCGAACATTTCCGCTACTTTGAGCTCAATTTCAAGGCAATTTCCATCGTAAAACTAATCAAAATCATATCTATTTCTGTAATATGTTTTCCATTCTATTAAATGAGACCAAGAAAACAAGAATACAACCATAAATACTATAGGAAAATACACCTCAAAGTCGGCATTTTAATCCAAAAACATGGTCAGTTTTTTTTCTCTCATTATGCACTGCGTGCTGTAGGACTTTTTTTTTATACAGTGCTCACTGACCACACAGACCCATTCTCTCACATGTGGGCCTACCAGCTTTCTCCTGCTTGATTTGAAGCCACTAAAATTTTATTATTTTTTTATTATTATCACACTGGCCGATTCCCACCAAGGCAGGGTGGCCCGAAAAAGAAAAACTTTCACCATCATTCACTCCATCACTGTCTTGCCAGAAGGGTGCTTTACACTACAGTTTTTAAACTGCAACATTAACACCCCTCCTTCAGAGTGCAGGCACTGTACTTCCCATCTCCAGGACTCAAGTCCGGCCTGCCGGTTTCCCTGAATCCCTTCATAAATGTTACTTTGCTCACACTCCAACAGCACGTCAAGTATTAAAAACCATTTGTCTCCATTCACTCCTATCAAACACGCTCACCATGCCTGCTGGAAGTCCAAGCCCCTCGCACACAAAACCTCCTTTAACCCCTCCCCCCCAACCTTTCCTAGGGCCCACCCCCACCCCGCCCTTTCCCTTTCCCCTACAGACTGATACAAATCTTGAAGTCATTCTGTTTCGCTCCATTTTTCTCCATGTCCGAACCACCTCAACAACCCTTCCTCAGCCCTGTGGACAACAGTTTTGGTAATCCCGCACCTCCTCTAACTTCCAAACTACGAATTCTCTGCATTATATTCACACCACACATTGCCCTCAGACATGACATCTCCACTGCCTCCAGCCTTCTCCTCGCTGGCAACTTCTCACCCATGCTTAACACCCATATAAGAGCGTTGGTAAAAACTATACTCTCATACATTCCCTCTTTGCCTCCAAGGACAAAGTTCTTGGTCTCCACAGACTCCTAAGTGCACCATTTCACTCTTTTTCCCTCATCAATTCTATGATTCACCTCATCTTTCATAGACCCATCTGCTGACACGTCCACTCCCAATTATCTGAATACGTTCCACCTCCTCCATACTCTCTCCCCCCAATCTGATATTCAATTTTTTCATAAACCTAATCTTTTTTGTTATCCTCATAACCTTACTCTTTCCTGTATTCCCCTTTTTAATTTTCTTCTTTTGCACACCCTACCAAATTCATCCACCAATCTCTGCAACTTCTCTTCAGTATCTCCCAAGAGCACAGTTTTCATCAGCAAAGAGCAGCTGTGACAACTCCCACTTTGTGTGTGATTTTTTATCTTTTAACTCCACGCCTCTTGCCAAGACCCTCGCTTTTTACTTCTCTTACAACCCCATCTATAAATATATTAAACAAACCACGGGACATCACACATCTTGTCTAAGGCCTACTTTTACTGGGAAAAAATTTCCCTCTTTCCTACATACTCTAACTTGAGCCTCACTATCCTCGTAAAAACTCTTCACTGCTTTCAGTAACCTACCTCCTACACCATACACTTGCAACATCTGCCACATTGCCCCCCTATCCACCCTGTCATACGCCTTTTCCAAATCCATAAATGCCACAAAGACCTCTTTAGCCTTATCTAAATACTGTTCACTTATATGTTTCACTGTAAACACCTGGTCCACACACCCCCTACCTTTCCTAAAGCCTGACTTAAGAAATCGTAATGACACGATTGCAAATAAACCATACCCCCGGCCGGGATTGAACCCACAGAGGTGCCTGTGCTAACTTTCCTATGGTGTAGAAATATACCTAGTTGGATGAATCTTATTGTGGCTAGCTGGTCTAGTGGCTAACGTGACGGGCTGGAGTTTTGAGACACTATGACCGCGGGTTCAATCCCGGCCGGGGGTATGGTTTATTTGCAATCGTGTCATTACGATTTCTTAAGTCACGTTGACGGCAGTGAAGGGACTTGAGCTAGAGTTCGTCACGGCCACGCTAGCTGGAGATTCGTCTGTAAAAACTTGCATTTGTGGTCACAGAGGTGCCTGTGCTAACTTTCCTATGGTGTAGAAATATACCTAGTTGGATGAATCTTATTGTGGCTAGCTGGTCTAGTGGCTAACGCGACGGGCTGGAGTTTTGAGACTATGACCGCGGGTTCAATCCCGGCCGGGGGTATGGTTTCCTAAAGCCTCCTTGTTCATCTGCTATCCTATTTTCCGTCTTACTCTTAATTCTTTCAATTATAACTCTACCATACACTTTACCAGGTATACTCAACAGACTTATCCCCCTATAATTTTTGCACTCTCTTTTATCCCCTTTGCCTTTATACAAATGAACTATGCATGCTCTCTGCCAATCCCTAGGTACCTTACCCTCTTCCATACATTTATTAAATAATTGCACCAACCACTCCAAAACTATATCCCCACCTGCTTTTAACATTTCTATCTTTATCCCATCAATCCCAGCTGCCTTACCCCCTTTCATTTTACCTACTGCCTCACAAACTTCCCCCCACACTCACAACTGCTCTTCCTCACTCCTACAAGATGTTATTCCTCCTTGCCCTATACACGAAATCACAGCTTCCCTATCTTCATCAACATTTAACAATTCCTCAAAAATATTCCCTCCATCTTCCCAATACCTCTAACTCTCCATTTAATATCTCTCCTCTCCTATTTTTAACTGACAAATCCATTTGTTCTCTAGGCTTTCTTAACTTGTTAATCTCACTCCAAAACTTTTTCTTATTTTCAACAAAGTTTGTTGATAACATCTCACCCACTCTCTCATTTGCTCTCTTTTTACATTGCTTCACCACTCTCTTAACCTCTCTCTTTTTCTCCATATACTCTTCCCTCCTTGCATCACTTCTACTTTGTAAAAACTTCTCATATGCTAACTTTTTCTCCCTTACTACTCTCTTTACATCATCATTCCACCAATCGCTCCTCTTCCCTCCTGCACCCACTTTCCTGTAACCACAAACTTCTGCTGAACACTCTAACGCTACATTTTTAAACCTACCCATACCTCTTCGACCCCATTGCCTATGCTCTCATTAGCCCATCTATCCTCCAATAGCTGTTTATATCTTACCCTAACTGCCTCCTCTTTTAGTTTATAAACCTTCACCTCTCTCTTCTCTGATGCTTCTATTCTCCTTGTATCCCATCTACCTTTTACTCTCAGTGTAGCTACAACTAGAAAGTGATCTGATATATCTGTGGCCCCTCTATAAACATGTACATCCTGAAGTCTACTCAACAGTCTTTTATCTACCAATACATAATCCAACAACAACTACTGTCATTTCGCCCTACATCATATCTTGTATACTTATTTATCCTCTTTTTCTTAAAATATGTATTACCTATAACTAAACCCCTTTCTATACAAAGTTCAATCAAAGGGCTCCCATTATCATTTACACCTGGCACCCCAAACTTACCTACCACACCCTCTCTAAAAGTTTCTCCTACTTTAGCATTCAGGTCCCCTACCACAATTACTCTCTCACTTGGTTCAAAGGCTCCTATACATTCACTTAACATCTCCCAAAATCTCTCTCTCTCCTCTGCATTCCTCTCTTCTCCAGGTGCATACACGCTTATTATGACCCACTTCTCGCATCCAACCTTTACTTTAATCCACATAATTCTTGAATTTACACATTCATATTCTCTTTTCTCCTTCCATAACTGATCATTTAACATTACTGCTACCCTTCCTTTGCTCTAACTCTCTCAGATACTCCAGATTTAATCCCATTTATTTCCCCCACTGAAACTCTCCTACCCCCTTCAGCTTTGTTTCGCTTAGGGCCAGGACATCCAACTTCTTTTCATTCATAACATCAGCAATCATCTGTTTCTTGTCATCCGCACTACATCCACGCACATTTAAGCATCCCAGTTTTATAAAGTTTTTCTTTCTTCTCTTTTTTAGTAAATGTCTACAGGAGAAGGGGTTACTAGCCCATTGCTCCCGGCATTTTAGTCGCCTCATACGACATGCATGGCTTACGGAGGAAAGATTCTTTTCCACTTCCCCATGGACAATAGAAGAAATAAAGAAGAACAAGAGCTATTTAGAAAAAGGAGAAAAACCTAGATGTATGTATATATATATGCATGTGCGTGTCTGTGAAGTGTGACCAAAGTGTAAGTAGGAGTAGCAAGATATCCCTGTTATCTAGCGTGTTTATGAGACAGAAAAAGAAACCAGCAATCCTACCATCATGCAAAACAGTTACAGGTTTTTGTTTCACAGTCATCTGGCAGGATGGTAGTACTTCCCTGGGTGGTTGCTGTCTACCAACCTACTACCTACATTATTGAGTATATATACGTCCGAATCACTGGTTTGTAAGACATATATACACGGCCGAAAGAGTCAAAGGGTTAACAAGTATATACGTATATACACACCCCTCTGGGTTTTCTTCTATTTTCTTACTAGTTTTTGTTTTTATTTCCTCGTCTCCATGGGGATGTGAAACAGAATTTTTCCTCTGTAAGCCAAGCGTGTCGTACGAGGCGACTAAAATGCCGAGAGCAAGAAGCTAGTAACCCCTACTCCTGTATATACAGCCTCTCCTCACTTAGCGATGTACTGGTTTAACGACGACTTGGACTTATGATGGGCTCTCTGACCAGTATGCATACCTAAATAATGTATATTAGAGGCGAGTTCCTCTATTCTGTTTATTTCAATATACAGTACACTACTGTATAAACTTTTAAAAATATACTAAAAATGTTATAAATGGTGTACGGGTAACATTAAAGCAATATCAAAGATGGTTGACATAAACCCACTACCATTATAGTTTGCTCCTCGTTTAGTGACGAATTCATTTATCAAAGCGGTATTAGGAACACAACTCCATCGTTAAGTGAGGAGAGGCTCTATTTCTAAAGTTAAAAAGAGAAACTTTTTTTTTTCTTTTTGGGCCACCCTGCTTCAGTGGGATATGGCCGGTTTGTTGAAAGAAAGAAAAGAAAGAATTGCTGGTCTTTTTTTCTGTCTCATAAACACATAGGATAACAGGTATATCTTGCTACTTCTACCTACACTTAAGTCACACTATACATGCATGTACATGCATATATGTACACACCCCTCTGTTTTTATTTCTATTTTCTTGATAATTCTTGTTCTTCTTTATTTCCTCTTATCTTCATAGGAAAGTGGAGAATTCTTCCTCCGTAAGCTATGCATGTCATAAGAGGCGACTAAAATGCGGGCAGCAAGGGGCTATTAACCCCTTCTGTACACACTACTAAATTTAAAAAGGTCACCCTGCCTCGGTGGGATATGGCTGGTGTTTACAAAAAAAATATATATTTAGCACCAATGATATTCTGAAATTCTCCATGGGGGAGCAGAACAGCATTCTTCCTTCGTAAGCCAGGCGTGTTGTAAGAGGTGACTAAAATACCAGGAGCAAGGGGCTAGTAACCCCCTCTCCTTTATATATTACTAAATTTTTAAAAGGAAAACTTTTGTTTTTTTCCTTTTGAGCACCCTGCCTTGGTGGGATACGGTGGGTTTTTTGAAAGAAGATATTCCGAAATTTTAGTTTTCCTCAAAAAGCAAAAAATTACTTACTGTATAAAGCCAGGAGATCCTCGACTGCCTTCCGTACATCACTGTTATTTCTTCATTTCCTGTGTAGAACTCAAGGCTCCCCAATAAGGTGCTGCTTTTGCTAATGCTCGAAGTTCTTGAAATGAAAAGAGAATTTTTTTTATACAAATTCTTCCTAATCTTCACAACAAAAATTATATGAAATTAATGCATATAGTGTTCCAGAGTATAGATTAAAAGAAAAAGAGTCATATTCTCAAATCTCCAAAAAAAAAATTTAACTGGATTTGAATGGACCTCAGAAAAACAAGAACCTAGCTGAATGTAATTTGAAAAGATTTCAACGGAAAGCATACTGTACTGAAAGAAACTATTACTGAAAACTGATTGCAAAAGAGAAACTCATTATTATCAGATTTTAATTATAAAATAATAAGACTGAGTGGCAGACCAGAATGGAAGGGGAAACAAATGGAAAAGACAATTCCGTGTTGTCCACTGGGTTTCCGTGGAAAACACGGAAAAAGCCTGTCGATTCTGGATTTGTCTGTTAGTATAAATTGTAATACTACTACTTACTGGCATGCTTTTTATTAACCCTTTGAGGGTCCAGAGGCCAAATCTCAGATGACAGCCAGGGTCCAAGAATTTGAGTAAAAAAAATTTTTTGTTATTTTTCTTATGAAATGTTTAAAAGAATCTTTTTCTGAAGGTAATAAAACAAAAAGTGTGAAATTGATGAAAATTGCCAAATTATGCTCTCATGAATTTTGCTGCATTAAAATATTTACGCACTGGGATTTTCCCAACTTTGACCCCCTTTTTAGGTCAATTACATTTCCAGTTGACCAAATTCTTAGCTATTTCGCTAGTGTTAGTACTTCTTTTTATCGACTGAGCAAAAGAAATCGCCAGTCAACTGTTTCAACTACCCAATAAATGATCGGAAATTGGTAATTTGGCCAATTTAACCCTTTGACTGTCAAGACCCCCAATCCTGAAGTGTGCCTCTGTCGCAAAATATTCGGAAAAAAAAATTGTTTTTCTCATGAAATATAGAGAATCTTTTTCCGATGGTAATGACACCAAAAGTACAAAATTTTGATGGAAAACTTATGGAATTACACTCTAATGAAGTTAGCAATCTAGGCGATACATCGGATGGGTAATTTCGCCCACTGAGCCCTATTTTCGGCCATTCCATTGTTTCAAGTCGCCCCAAACTTCATAGCTATTTCTTTAGAACTCCATTTGTTCTATCGACTGAGTCCAAGAAACCGCCATTTACTGATTCAACTACCCAATAAAGTGGTCAGAAATTAGAAATTTTTGACCTTTTTCACGCAAATTAAAAAAAGATGCCAATTTCAAAATAGGGTCCAGATTAAACAATACAGACATACCTATAAAAAAACAACATTTCTCTGTTCATCAGTCACATCCCAGGCCCCTTATATTACTCTTGCTTTCTATTTGAATTTTTATTCACACAAAAAAATAGAAGATTTACTGTTATGCAGACTACTGAATTGTTGTAATAACTGTATAAATTAATGTCAACCCATTTGTGACTGTGTATTAGAATGGCTATTTGGACACTTTTTTGGATGGTGACGCCATTTTTTTACTCTTGAACATCAGCAAAAAATCGAACATTTCCGCCACTTTGAGCTTAATTTCAAGGTCCTTTTCATTGTGAAACCAATCTGTAATATGTCTTCCATTTTATCAATGAGACCAAAAAAACGAGAATACAACCATAAATACTATACGAAATACATCTCAAAGTCGGCTTTTTAAATCCAAAAACAGTTTTTTTTTTCTCATTATCCACTGTGTGCTGCAAGATTCTTTTTTAAGCACACACTGACCACACAGACCCATTCTCTCACAGGGTGGGCCTACCAGCTTTCTCTCGCTTGATTTGAAGCCTCTAGAATTTTGGCGTTTTAAATTTATGTCGCCAACACTGGCTTATAAGACGTATATATACACACCAAAAATCAAAGTGTTAACACAAAGTTCAAAAAAATCCAATTTCAAAATAGGGGTCCAGAAAAAACAATGCAGGCATTCCTGGCACTAAACTAACATTTCCTCTGTTTTTTTAACCCTTTCAGGGTCCGCCCCATAGACCTACGGCTTCACGTTCGGGCCCAAATTCTAGCGGAGTCAAATTTAGCGCAAAAACGCTGGTAGGCCTACATATGAGAGAATGGGTCTGTGTGGTGTGCGTGTGCCATAAGCAAAAAATCTAGGCGCCCGCATAGCATGTGGGAACACCGGCTCGGTTACCTTTGTTCACCATGCCTCGCCCCGAAAGGGCACTCTCACCCCAAGGAAAATTGGGACTCTCCCTTCCTTTCTGATAGTTCTGACTCTGATGGAAGTGGAAATGAAGACGAATTCTTTGGCTTTGATCAGTTTTGTGACTGAAGGATGACCAGGATATCGATAATAGTGCAGAAAACCCTGACGATCCTCAACCTTCTACCTCTGGTGTGGGCACGCCTCAGTCACGGTCAGTTGTACCTCATCGCAAGAGAAAACTATTATTTTCGCGTGGCCAGGCCTCTGACTTCAGTAATGATGATGATAGTGGCGTGGATTGTGATTTTATTGCTCTTGACGATCATTCGAGTAGTGATAGTGAGAAACATTCACCAGGAAGCTCGGTATGTACGCCGCCGCATGCGCTCGGGTAGTGTTCCCTCTGCAGTGCCCAGGGGACGGAGTACATTCCATGGCCCTACACCAGGAATAGACAGTGAAAGTGAGGATGATGTGGCTACACTTGGCATGGATAGACCACAGGCATCAGTGGGTGGTGGTAGTGGTGATGGTAGTGCCACAGCCATGCGTGACTCACCAGCCCAGGCTGGGGGCCCACGCTGCTGACTCCTCAGTTCAAGGACAAAGCAGAGCGTCAGCCACCAGCCCACCACAACTACCCGCACAACCAGCCTATGATGTCCAGTATCCACCAGCAAACCGTATCTGGGATGGGGAGTAAATCCCAATTTTGTTCCCAAGCCCCACCACTTTTATGACTCTCAAAGTGGAATTCTACCTACTTGTCCCCTTTTGGGAAACCACGGTCAACGAACTGGAATTCTTTGAAATATTCCTTTGACCAGCCCTGATGGAAACTATTGTCAGGGAAAGTAAAAAAGTATTTTGGAGTACACCATGGCAAATACGTCATATCACCACAGCAAGACTACACCGTAGAAAGAGATGACTGTTGCAGAAATGTATTTGCTTTTTTGCAACAAAAATGCTTATGCCTCATGTCTATAAGCATAATATAAAAGCTTACTGGTCCACAGATCAACTAATTTCTACCCCGGTCTTCAGTGAAATCATCCCAGTGAACAGGTTTATCTTACTGTTACGTATGTTGCACTTCTCTGACAAAACTAGGCCTGACAGAAGTGACAGGTTATACAAGATTAGAAATGTTTTTATGTATCTGAAACAAAATTTCAACATGTACTTTTATCCATTCAAGAATCTTGCAATTGACGAGTCTTTGATTTTGTTCAAAGGTAGACTGTTGTTCAAGCAGTATATACCGAGCAAGAGGAAACGCTTTGGTATAAAACTGTTTGTGACTGTGACAGTGGCCTGGTATTGGATATTGTATACACGGGATGTAAAACAGTGAAAGATACCAAGATGTTATTGGGTATCTCAGGTGACGTAGTGAGAAGCATGATGGCACCTTTTTCTTGGTAAGGGGCATAAAATTATATACCGATAACTGGTACAAAAAGCCCTTTACTCAGTGATTTCTTATGAGTGAACAAGACAGATGTGTGTGGCACAGTGCGTTCTAATCGTAAACATATGCCCAGGCTCAACGCAGGTGCTCGTGGTGATGACGTGCAGGTGTTTACTGCCAGTGACATCATGGCATTACGGTGGCATGACAAACGAGATGTCACATTGTTGACAACCATTCACTGTAATGAAATGCAAGACAGTGGCCAAGTTGATAGAATGACTAATGAACGTATTCAAAAACCAGCGACAGTGATTGATTATACACAAAACATGCGCTTGGTTGACAAATGTGACATGCAGATTGGCTTTGTTGACTGTGTTCGTAAGAGTTACAAGTGGTACATGAAACTTTTCTTCCATCTCATGGGCATTTTAATGCTCAAGCATATACTATGTACCAATGAAGACTGGCAAACAGACCACCCTATGGTGAATTTTGTTTGTCTGTTGTCAGAAACTCATAATGAAGTACCAGGTAACAACACCTGCTATACAACAAGGTCCTCGAGTCCTCAGAATATACCCAAGTGTTTGAGGAGGGAAGGTGATTTATTTCATAATACAGCTTCCTGGGAACTAAGATGAAATTTGCTCAGAAGAGTGCATTGTCTGTGCACAAACGAAACGACGGCAACAAAGACACAAAGACACTTGGTTTATGTGCGAGGAATGTAAGGTACCTCTGTGCATGATGCCCTGTTTCAAGGAGTTCCACAAGCTCCAGCAGTTCTAAAAACATGTCCAGTGATTGTAAATATGTAAATATATGTTAGAACATTAGTATTATACAAGATTTGTTCATGTTTATTGTAATAAACAAAAGTGGTAAACAATAATATGATAATAACTTTAGTGCAGTTATTGTGTTCAATGCAGTGAGTTTATATATATACATTATATACAGTATTGGTCTCTCAGGCCCCAAATGTTAGTAGGAAAAGAAAAAAATTAGAAAAGAAAAGAAAAAACTACAAAAACCGTTAAATACAATAATGCGCGTATGTGGAAATCGTCGATGTTGCCGCCACCCGGTCATTTTGGGTCAACTTCTCGGCACTGTATCTCGGTAAGCACTGATCAGATTTTTTTTTGTTTTATTACCTTCACAAAAATATACAGTAGACCCTCGAGCAACGATGGCATCGTCAAACGTTAAATCCGACTAGCGATACATTTTAACGCAAAAATTTTGCCTCGACTAGAGCTAAAAAACTCGACCAACACGATTCGTTCCGTCTGAGACGCATCCACTTGTGGCCAGTGTTTACAAGCCAGCCAGCCACCACGGTCCCATCCAAACATACAATCGGAACATTTCATATTATCACAGCGTTTTTAGTGATTGCACCT